GAGGAGGCAACGTCTAGGCCTACGCCTACGACGTCGCCTCCCACCCTTCTTGGAGGACCCGGGGCCAGGGGCATCCGCCAGAACCTCCGCAGGAGCGGAGGCGGCAGAGCCCCCAGCCAGGGGACCAGACCCTGGAGTATTGGCTCCACCACCTAAGCCCGCCGAGGGCGCACCCATGGAGACCCCTCCAAATGGAGGGATCCCAGGCCGCCCGCAAGCAAAGACCCTATACTGGCCAATACCGACGAAGAGATGTCGACCCTTAAGTCAGCAAACCTCCTGTCCAGTATAGCCGAGAGGTCCGCAACCGTAAGAGGTTGCGACCCCGGCAGCACCTCTTCCGCTCCGTTGCATCCTTCGATGATTCCGGAGAAGACGCCGCACGTAGCCTCTTTTTAGATGCCCTAGGAACCCTATCGCAGAAGAATTTCGCGTACAGGTCCGGGATGACTGCCCGAAAGGCAGCCATCTCACGAGCCACCCTATCACGCTCTCGTTCGAGGGCCGAAATCCTCTCTCTGAGCCCCAGATTTTCACTCCGAAGAGCTTCAATCTGGGGGTCCGCCTCAAGGACAATTCGTCCCTCCATCTCATGAAAGATGTTCCCGAGTCTCATCGAAGAGATCCGGAGATCCCTGGCCACGATTGGATCGAGACCAGTGACCTCAGACACCTTCTCCACTTGGGAAACGGACATCTCTTCCAACCTGCGAAGCTCCAGATTGGTAACATTCTGCAGGCTGGCACGGAAAGCATCGCTTGACGGGATATTTTCTACACCTACAGCGGACAGTTCCGGGCCAAGATCTGGATACAAGACTCTGCGAATGTCCGCAAGTTGGAGCTCCCGCTCCACCGCTCTGTTGAGGCGCTCCTTAGCCTCAGCCAGCCCAGCGTAATCCCCAGTTTTTTTGGGGCGACCCCGCTTTTCAGTACGCGCTTTCGACTTACCTGAACCCTGACTGGGTACTGCTTCCTCCCAGTCAGGAGCCTCTTATCGTGTGGAGTCCACTCCACATCCATCACATCCTCGGCAGAGGAAGGGGATGAGATGGAGAGAGCAGAGGGTCCCGCAGCCTGCCGGTCCTCATCTCCACTGACCTCACGCACTTTCTCCGGTGAGGGAAGATCATGCCTGAAGGGCAATCGAACCGCATAGCGTCCCTGAGGGGTACGATAGTGGTTGGCGATGAAATGAGCCTTGCACCTCTCCTCCTCCTCCGTGAGGGGGACAGGCCGCGAGATCTCCTCATCTTCCCAGAACTTCTGGAGAAGAGAGTGCGTGCTTTGTTCCAACACGCAGTTTAATACAGATGCTTGAGCAGTAGTAGTCGGCCTACTATTTGTGGGGCCGGAAAGGATCCAACCGAGAGCGGTCAATTGCGCTGTCGGAGTTCCAATAGGACTTGACGGACATCGCGCTTCAGAAGCGAGCCGTAAAGGTCAGCACCGATCAAACAATGAATTTGATGTTGACTTGAAGGGTCCGAAGCGTCGGAACCAGATACAGTGTACAAATCTGATATGATACAATAAAATTACTGTTATTAAAATTAAATAAAAGGAAAAACATTGGTCCTTCGAGCCGGATTTTTCGTTGACCCGATCATACGGATAATCAAACTACGCGAGATTTGCGTTGTGAGACGGAACGGGTGAACATTGTCAGTGAGACGTCGGACTGTGACTCCTCGTTTTACAATCGAATGAGTGCAGAAGAAGAACAAAGACAGTGTCGCGTTCGCTATCCAACGGGTTTTCTCTCTGGGCTCACTCACTCTGCTTGAGCGACAAGTGGAGTTATTTTCCCGTCGTGGAGTTAACTTTAACGAACATTCCCGCGGGAATCTAAATGTTGAGCTTCGCGCCTTATTCGCGAGTTCATTTACAAGGTTCAAACGCGGGGGTCTGGTGGTGGAAACAATTCGTGAACTCAAAGTCAAAATTACATCGTGTTTCGCGGAACGAAGTGAAGTATTCCGCGAAGGTGTTGCCGTCGGCGTCGATAACACGCCCGGAACATCATACACTGTGCTAATCGAGACTGGACGCGACGATTAAAAGGGAATCGTCGCGAGTTCGACGCCGTCGGCGTGGCAATTGAACGTCACGGCGTTAATTCTTCAGGCACCGGAGAAATCCGCTTGTCGATAAGAAAACATCCGCGGAAAGGTTGCCGTCGGCGCAGCGGTAACGCTCCCCGGCATATCCCGTGTATTCTTAAGCGACATAACAGTGTCGCGATTCGACCAAAAGTCGTCGCGCATTCGTTGCCGTCGGCACCGTGCTCACGAGCCCGGTACCTTCGATCAAGTCACTATTAATAGCTCATTAACGAAAAAATAATGGCAGAATTAAGAAATTTGCTCATCTCGCAAGTTGAAACAATCGACTCGATAAAGCGAGTTCTCGTTAACTTCAAGAAATTAGCGAAAGCTAATGTTACATTAGCAAAGACGCAGGGGCGTCTTGCAACGCTGGAAACGCTTTGGACTTCCTGTCGAGGGCTACACGTCAAGCTGCTGCAAGCCACAACTTCGGAGGAGCAGAAGACTGTCTCGTATTTCCTGAATGGAGACTTCCTGAGCGCCGAGGAGATCTACCACGACACGGCCGACCTCCTTCGCGATACGATAAGTCGATTCTCAATTAATCAATCTCCGTTGTTAGAACACAGTACTGATTCTTCAATTCGCGAGGGCATTCATAATCACAATTTTCAGTTGCCACGGATCTCACTTCCGAAGTTTTCGGGCAAGTTCTCCGAATGGGAGAGTTTTAAAAATACTTTCGAGTCTCTTGTCGCGAGTAATGATTCTCTCTCGAACACGCAGAAATTTCATTACCTCAAAACGAGCGTCATCAGTGACGCTGCCTCGATTATTAGTAATTTAAAGATTTCCGACGCTAATTATGAGTCCGTCTGGCAGTTGTTGATTGACGAGTATGATGATCAACTTACGTTGATCCATACTCACATTCACGCCTTCATGTGCCTACCGACAATGAAGGCGGAAAACGTCGCGGAAATGCGAAAGTTGAGAGATACCGTGTCCGCATCTCTAGCGGCTCTCACTAATCTAAAGCGGCCGGTACGCGAGTGGGATGACATTCTCGTCTACGTCATCTCTCAAAATTTAGTTCGAAAACAAGGAGCGAATGGAATTTAAAAATTTCGTCAAGTCGCGAGCTTCCTTCGTACAAGGATATTCATGAATTCCTCACGCTTCGAATACGAGGTCTGTCGGACTTCTCCGACAATCCTAAAGTAATCGTCAATTCTAAGAGTGACAAAACGCAGTCCTCCGTTCATAATCTTTCCGCGATTAAGTGCATTTGCTGTTCCGGCAGTCATTCGGTAATGAAGTGCGAGGAATTTCGTCGGAAAAACGCGACATAGCGGCATGCCATCGCGCGACAGAATCGGGTCTGCTTCAATTGTTTGCGAGCGGGACATTTCACGCCGAAATGCTCGAGCAAAATTCGATGCGCTCATTGTCAACGCTCTCATAACACATTGTTACACAATGAGAGTGATCAAAATAAGGACACAGCGGAAAATTCCCGTTTATCGAATTCGAGCGTTAATGCGTCTACTACCACGAGTAAGACTGTCGTAGTCGGCGACGCCGCCGTCGCCAGCGTGCAAACTCTCAAACCTTAGAATACCACGATGCCCACCGTTCTTCTCGCGACCGCGTGGGTTGACATACACACTTCTGAAGGAAGATGTTTTAAGGTCCGCGCTTTATTAGATCAAGGGTCTAATTTTAGCTTTATTTCCGAAGCATTGAGTCAAACGCTTCGCACTAAACGACAGAGGACCGATCTTCAAATAAAAGGTTTCGGGGAGAAATATGCCGGTTCTGCGCGATCGAGAGTTTCGCTAAATTTGACGCCGTGCGAAAATTGAATCCTGTTTTTCCGGTCACTGCGTATGTATTCCCGCGAATAACTTCGTACGCCACGTCGCGAATTCGGCCTATAGAATCATGGCCTCATTTACAGGGCCTTTCACTAGCATATCCGGATCCATCTAGTCGACATCAGATTCACATGCTGATCGGCGCGGACGTGTACGGTTCGCTCTTATTGCGCGACCTGAGACAGGGCCCCTATGGAGCGCCCACTGCCCAATCGACCTCGTTCGGTTGGATAATCTCTGGACCGACCGGAAGTAAAGAAACTACTTCACAAGAAGTAACTGTTTTGAATTGCGTATCCGCGCTGGATGTGGACTCTCTCCTCCAGAAATTCTGGGAGGACAAAGAGATTCCCACGCCAACTTCCCTCACGGAGGAGGAAGAAAAATGCGAATCTCATTTTGCTCAAACGCACAGTCGTGATCCTGACGGTCGTTATGTCGTGAGATTACTTTTCAAAAATGCTTTGCCGATCGATATCGGGGAATCTCTCTCCATAGCGCGTACATTGTACGGTCGTCTGGAAAATAAATTGAATTCAAAATCCGATCTCTGTTCGCTATACAGAGACTTTCTTACAGAATACGAGGCCCTTGGACATATGACTCGCGTTGGCGAGTCCGAACCCACTGAGAATATACCGATTTATATTCCCCATCATCCAGTAATAAGAGAGGATAGTTGCACCACAAAGCTTCGAGTCGTATTTAACGCGTCGTGTAAAACCCGGAATGGCACGTCACTTAACGACCATTTGCTCATCGGGCCAAAGTTGCAGCAGGATCTCCCTGCCGTCTTATTGCGTTGGCGTGCATGGCGCTTGGTTTATACGGCAGACATCGCCAGATGTTTCGACAAATACGCGTACATCCGCGGGACGTCGATTACCAAAGAATCCTGTGGCGTCCGACGGATGACGCTCCGCTTACTCATTTTCGCCTTCTTACAGTGACGTATGGTTTAGCATCGGCACCTTATCTTTCGATGCGCGTGCTTCGACAGCTCGCGCTTGATGAAGGTGCAAAGTTTCCTGCCGCGGTACCGATCGTCAATGATTCCATTTACGTGGACGACGCATTGTTCGGAGCAAACGATATCGATTCGTTAATAAATACGCGAACTCAGCTCGCTGAGCTAATGAGGCGCGGAGGTTTTTTACTTCGTAAATGGGCTTCAAACTGTAGCGAGCTTCTTGACGATTTATCCAGCGATCGATCGGACGTTACCGATCACCTTATCCTAAAGGACGAAACGTTGAAAATATTCGGATTATCATGGCTCCCTACGGAAGACTCCTTCCGCCTTACTGTGAAATTTAATTTTCCTACCGCGTTAACTAAGCGTTCAATCCTGTCGTGCATCGCGAGCTTGTATGACCCCCTCGGATGGGCTGCGCCGGTTGTAATAAACGCAAAAATCATTCTGCAAGAGCTATGGCTTTTACATTGCGACTGGGATGCTCCGCTTCCGAACGAATTGAGTCAACGGTGGAATGCTTTCGCTTCCGAGTTCCCGCAATTAGAATCCGTTAGAATTCCTCGGTGGACGGGTCCGAGCCCTGATAATCTCGCGTTAGAAATACATGGATTCGCCGACGCTTCAAATCGCGCGTACGCTGCGGTCGTATACTTGCGCGTTTTCCATTCTCTTTCGGAATACCGTGTTAGCTTGATCGTTGCGAAGTCGAAGGTGGCTCCCGTCAAGACTGTTAGCATTCCGCGGCTCGAGCTCAACGCCGTTGTTTTATTGAGTCGACTCGTTAAGTGGGTAATTAAGTCATTAAATATTATTCATTGTCCGATCCATTGTTGGACGGACTCCACGATCGCGTTGGCATGGTTACGCCAACATCCATCGAAATGGACTACGTACGTAGCAAACAGAGTATCCGAGGTGCAGTGTAATCTACCCTCGGCCAAATGGAATCACGTACCGTCCAAAGACAATCCGGCCGACTGTGCATCCAGAGGGTTGTACGCATCCAAGTTAGTCTCACATCCGTTATGGTGGGCGGGCCCGCCTTGGCTTCAATGGCCTTCAACAGCATGGCCGCCACATAACATTGCTTCTCCGATCTCCACGGAGTTAACTAAGCAAATACACTCGGAAAGTCGAAAGTCCACTGTCCTTCACGTGGAAGGTACACCGGAATGGGATCTCCCTTATAGATACTCTTCCTGGACTAAGCTCATTCGAGTGACAGCCTACGCTTACAGATTTATATCCCGCTCCGCTAAACAAAGGAATTTTGAAGTTAATGTTGCGTTGTCTCTTAACGCGGACGAACTTAAACGCGCGGAAATGTTTTGGCTCTCATATACGCAGAGGAAGTCGTTCGACTCCGAACTCAAAGCATTAAAGAGAGAAGAAAACTTCCGCGAAAGAGCACACTGAAGCCTCTTAATCCTTTCATAAGAAAAGATTCCTTACTACGTCTCGGCGGGCGGTTACGGAATTCCGCACTATCCTTCGAGGAACAACACCCTATCTTAATTCCTCGGGGTCGAGTAGCCGAGTTATTAATTGATCAAACGCACCGAAGCTCACTTCATGGAGGAACTCAACTTGTGCTTAGAACACTCTGCCAAAAATATTGGATATTAAGTTGTCGTAATGCCGTAAAACATTGCATTAGACAATGTGTCGTGTGTGCTCGTTACGCGAACAAACTATCAAATCAACTTATGGGAGACCTTCCCTCCCCTCGCGTAAATCCATCATCTCCGTTCACGCATACGGGAGTAGATTACGCCGGGCCGTTCCTTGTTACTTCATTAGTCGGTAGAGGACAAAAGACACGTAAAAGTTACATCGCCTTGTTTATTTGTCTTGTGATGAAGGCTATCCACATAGAGCTCGTTGAGGATTATTCCTCTGCGGGATTTATAGCGGCCTTTCGAAGATTCGTTAGTCGACGAGGATTGCCACAAAAACTCTACAGCGACAACAGCACGAACTTTCACGGGGCGGACCGGGAATTAAAAACGGCTTTTGACAAATTGACCAACGACATTTCGCTACGAGCCACTCTTGCAAACGACCGAGTGGAATGGCATTTCATCCCAGCCGCAGCACCGCACTTTAGCGGTCTGTGGGAAGCGGGAATAAAGAGTCTAAAAACGCACTTGAAAAAGGTAGTGGGTCCGCGTACCTTGTCTCAGGTCGAATTTGCAACACTACTTTGCAGAGTCGAGGCATGTCTCAATTCGCGTCCCATTGCTGCGTTAAACGACGACCCGAGCGATTTGTTAGCACTCACGCCGGGTCATTTTCTCATAGGTCGACCAATAACCGCAGTACCGGAAGAATCAGTACTCGCGGTAAACGAGAATCGACTCTCTCGATGGCAGCTCGTCAACGCAATGCACGAGCGAGTCTGGCGTGCTTGGTCTCTTGACTATTTGCATTCGTTGCAGCAACGAAGCAAATGGAAGGATAAGACTGTGAGTTTTTGCGTCGGTGAGCTTGTGCTCGTAAAGAACCCACTGCTCCCTCCGAGTAAGTGGGAACTCGCTCGAGTTACACAGATCCACCCCGGATCCGACGGGCTCGTTCGGGTAGTAACGATACGCACCGCGTGCTCCTCGTTCAAGCGACCAATCACGCTGCTTTGCCGTCTCCTGATTAATTGTGATAATTAATTCCGTATTATACGAAAATTTGTAAGTGGATTAAATCTAGATTTAGGGAAGAGTTTGTATTTGTTTGCAACAGCAGTTCGCTGGTCTTTCGGTTGAAGATAACTGTGTTATCCGAACGGACGACCTTCGTATAGATATCCGTCTCTATTTGCACTCGAAATTTCGAGAAAGTAAATACTTCGCACGTTCTAAGCAAGCTGTGCTCATTGTTCGCAAATTTTATTTGTTGTCACATAGTCACGTCGTCGCGAAGATTATAAGGTTTCGCCCTTTCAAAGGTCATTCAGCGAGTTTAACATCGATTGCTCATTTTGACACATTATAACGACTCAAACCTGTGGAATGATTTCGCATCGGTTCGCATGCGAGGCGGGCGGTATGTTTAAAACTTGGAACAAAGCTGTCGAGAAAAAAAAAATATATATATATATTTAATCAAAACATCACATACCAATGCTCAAGCTCGTATGACAATAAAAACAATGATAAATTATTAAATTAAGGCCATGTGTAACGAGCAATACGATATTATTTTATTATTGAGAAGAAAATTCTTAATTTGAAATAATAATTATACAAACGTTTCGAGCTCTACTTGCTCCTCTTCAGTGCGCAAAAAAATAGTGATAATAAATAACGATAATAAATAAATACATAAAATTCTAATAAAAAATCCGCAATACATAGTCAATATAAGTTATATAGTTGAGTCATAGTTAAAACGCAAAATATATTTACAATGAATTGAGACCATTAAAATAGTTCAACAAAGTAAGAACCCAATTAGAAGCAGAATGATTCGTCCGGTTATTTATAAAATATATTAGAATTATTAATAAAAACTTGGAGTGACACTTATACATTACTCCAAATGAACCACTTATCGTTATTTGACGAAAGTCCCTCGATCTGGCAATGATTATGTTCATCCTCTCCAAATTATTTGATATTTGTTAACTGAATTTAAAGAATTTATTCAATTGTAAAATAAGATTCCACTAATGTGTATGTGAAAAAAGATTAAAAATTATAAATTAAACTAACTACTAAAATATTGAACCTTTATGCTTACAAATTGTTCCGAATAACTTGAGATGACGATGCTTCTAATTGTTGTTGGCCTTATTGTTAGTACTTGACTGTTGTCTAGTCTTTTAAAAAGTCGAATAAATAGGTGTCAGATCTCACAAAATAAACATTTACATAAGTCTAAAAATTCGATATTTCTTCTAGAATGTCGAAATACGCGTTGTTAAGCAATTCGGTGTCTGTGTTATTATTTATACCATGCCTTTGTTCCTTGATGTGTATCATTTCCGAGATAAGTCTTTTATAATAATTAGATTCAATATCAAGTATTTTAACGTTGTCCCAATCAAAAGCATGTTTTTTATCTATAATATGTTCAGAGACCACAGAATGCTTGGAGGAATCAAATTTAATATTATTCATATGCTCTTTTAGTCTAGTGCGTAATTTTCTTTTGGTTTGCCCAACATACGAAGCTTCACAATCCTTACAATTAATTTTGTAGACCACATTATTATTATTGTTATGCACGTTTTTGTCCTTGTGGACTTTAATTAATTTGTTAAGATTATTTAGACAACGGTATCCTACTCTGAAATCTGATTTTTTTATTGTCGATGCTATTGTCTCAGAAATGTTATTAATGTATGGAATGACGAAAAATTTTTTCTTTCTATTATCTTCTGCAATTTCTTTTTTTCTATTGTTGTTAAACTGACCATTGTTTAAAACTCTTATTCTCTTATTTATTTCTTTAAAGATTAAATGAATAGGGTAACCGTTGTCCAATAATATTTTAATACACAGTTCTAAATTTTTCTTATGATATATGGGATGAGATAATAACAATGCCCTATTAATAAGATTATAAAACACTTTCTATTGCAAGATCTATCGGAATGTTAGTGAATAGTGAAACCACGTCTAATGATATTAGAATCATTCTGCTTCTAATTGGGTTCTTACTTTGTTGAACTATTTTAATGGTCTCAATTCATTGTAAATATATTTTGCGTTTTAACTATGACTCAACTATATAACTTATATTGACTATGTATTGCGGATTTTTTATTAGAATTTTATGTATTTATTTATTATCGTTATTTATTATCACTATTTTTTTGCGCACTGAAGAGGAGCAAGTAGAGCTCGAAACGTTTGTATAATTATTATTTCAAATTAAGAATTTTCTTCTCAATAATAAAATAATATCGTATTGCTCGTTACACATGGCCTTAATTTAATAATTTATCATTGTTTATATATATATTGTTCTGGTTCCGAGTCGAAGCCAGGGACTCAAGGCTCGACCAACGATCGACTTTGTTTGGCACCTCGAGCGGACATCGACAGGTCAACCGGCCAGCGAATCACGATTAGCCGCGCGCGTGTCACGCGCCGAGTTCATGCAAAGCTCGTGATTCCGAATCGGTTGTCTTCCCCGAGGTTAAAAAAAGAGTTCAGTTAGCCCAAAGACACAGTCAAGAGCACCCAACGATAAAGCGGTATGCTTGTAACGGATCCGCGATATCCTGTCTTTCTTTGTTCTTGAAGAACGACAATCGAACCTCAATCACGTATTCAATAGTCTATCAAAAGGGTCCGAAGCGTCGGAACCAGATACAGTGTACAAATCTGATATGATACAATAAAATTACTGTTATTAAAATTAAATAAAAGGAAAAACAATCACAATAAAATATAAAATATATTTCATTAATTTTACTTTACGGTTTAGTAAAATTAATAAAACATGTTTCATATTTTATTGTGATAGATATTATTATTTTGAATGTGATAAATATTAATTAGAGGAATTCTAATAAAATTTTTTCCATACAATATTATCCTACGATTACCACAATTTTCAGGGCAAATTCTAAAAGAAAATTCTCTCAGATTGTGATGATGTGTTGTAATTTGTAATCAGTTATTTATTACAATAATTTTTAATCAAGTGCGTGAGTCAAAGTGTTAATAGAATTTATTACAAAAAAATGATTTCATTATGCAGTGTGTCACAGTGTGTCAATATCGGATTGTATCCAGTCAGGCAACAATTATTCGTCAAAGGACATCAAACATCTCTACAAGGTAAGAATCAGTGAGAGAGAGAGAGAGAGAGAGAGTGTGTGTGTGTATACGCGTACACACACACACACACACAAAACGCCGCGTGTAACAAACAGCTGATCGCTTCGAGCGCCCACGTAATCGCCCGCGTCGGATAATGTGGTGCGCCGCTCCTGATTACCGCCCGTACTCGTGCTGTAATTCGCTAACTATTTCTTTTTATATTTCAAAAACTAAGCTTCGGATAAAATTTTGGCAAAGAAAAAATCGTCTTTAAATTGAGTCAGGAATACGACATTTTAAAGACAAACGGTTGTTTTGAATCACCCTGTATAATACAGGAAGGATCGATGATATTTCGACTCTCTGTCAACTGTGTCGGTCCGACGGTTTCTTCAAAAAGCTTCCGCCCCGGCTCTCCCGTTGCGGTAGAGACGCTCCGATCGAGAAACACACAACTCTACCTTTGTGCCGTAGCCTTCCCTGGCGGGAGGCAGCGGTCCGCGCGCGTCCTCGGACAGGCTGATCGAAGAGCCACCACGATTATTCTCTCTCTCTCTCTCGTCCGAAAGAAGAAACCACGATGGTTGAACGAGAAGCGCGTTTCTTCGCGAACGCAAAAATTTCGAACGATTACCCTGAACGGTGAATCACTTGGCTCGTAGGTCAATGAAGAACGCAGCTAATTGCGTCAACTTGTGAACTGCAGGACACATGAACATCGACATTTCGAACGCACATTGCGGTCCACGGATACAATTCCCGGACCACGCCTGGCTGAGGGTGTTTTAGTACCCCTAAACTGCTTGCGCCCGAAAAGCGCGCACGGCCACGACGCGGGCGACCAGAGAATGGCGCGCGCGTTGCCTGTGCCCTGTGCAACGCTTACAATGGGCGTACGAGCGATCGTTGGACGTTCGCCCGAGGTGTCTGTGCCGCGCCGACCGGCCGCGGCGCAAATCCTGGCGTCGTCTGAAATGACACACCGAAATAATAATGAGAAAGAGAAGCGCACAAGCGTGTAAAACGTTGGCAAACGCGCGCCCAGAGAATGCTGCGCAAATTAAGAGGGGGAGCGTGTTTGTGTATCCAAGTCGTGTGTGTACGCGAGAGCCGAGGAGAAATGGGATGAGAGTAAGAGCGCGCGCGAAGGGAGCAACAAACGGCCAAAAAAAGGGTCAGGGCGGTGAATGGCACCGCTTTCCCTAGAGCGGCGCGTGCGTCGTTGTCTCCCGAAAGTAGGTAGCGCATGTCTCACCGTCTCTCCTCTCCGTACATCACACAGACTGACCGACTGCTCTCGCACTCTGTGCCGCGTCTCTCGGTGCGATAGCGCTCGCGCGTCTTATGCCGAGGCGCCCTTGCCCGCACACATAACGGTATTACGGAGAAATATACGGCGCGTCGTCGTCCGGCGGAGAGAGCATTCGTAATCCTTTACCTCTTTACGGAGAAGGGTTTTGAATCGCGAGCCGACCGCGTGTCCGAGTCCACGAAATTTTCGTAAAGCAAAAAAAAGGACCGGCGCGCCGCGTCGTGTACTCGTCGAATCGATTCCGCCCGAATTTCGTATATAAAAGAGAAAGGAGAGCCGAGAATTTCGAACCCCGCGATATATCGTCTCCATTACCACCAACGAGTGTGTGTGCGGTTAGCGCCCCGGCGATTTGCCTTCTCGCGTATTTCGTGTGCTGCCGCTG